TAAACTTGGAGAAAGAAAGATGCTGGAATGATTACATCCGAGAACTCGTCCTCGAAGAAGTGACGCATTCGCCTTGATTGCATCTTTTCTGCCCATGCTCTTCGTTGCAGTCTTCCGGCCTCGTACTGGAAACATATTTGGTCGAACACTAGTATTAAAGCCCATTTCACGCTTCGTATGGGCGAGATTAGGCCCATCAATGGTGAGTGCCTTCCTCACAGGCACGTCCTTCCTCTTTATCTGCTTGAAGAGGGCTCACCGAAGAAAGCATAATGATAGAGTCGGCATTACCCAAGCGATGAGCGTGGAATGCTCCCTCAAAATGTCTTTTAGCTGTTCTACGTGACTTGCTCCATCCATCATGAGCAGAGCGTGGAATCGGAACGGGAACTATTAGCGGTTCTGGACTTGAGCTGTCAGTGCGAATCACTCTATCCCTCCGCCTCTACTTATTTCCCTGGTCCGATCCCCTTCAACCCTTCTTCCAACTTTCCGAATTCAGCCCAAAAAAGCTGACGTCGAATGGGGAGGAGAAAGACATCTTCAATCAGCCATCAGAAGATCAGAAGTACTAGTTGTATTGTTTGTTCGCGGAGCCTGCAACCAGGGCACGACCACAAGAGAGATTTGGCAGGCCTTGGGGGAATCGTATCAACCGGAACCCGAGTTGCGATTAGAGTGGGGGTTGAGTTGGACCACGAGAGTGGAGCCATTAAAGCTGTTGTTCTCGAGGAAGAATGTGTTGGTGTTTAGGGCCTACCACGCATGCACCACACTATTAGCAGATCAATTTAATCTCCTCCCCTGGACACTGAAGAGCCTTGGGGGAACACGAATGAAGCTGTTCGCCCGATAAGGATGCGGACCACCTCTTACAACCACCCGCACCCACGATGGGATTCTCACGGCCGTGCTATACCCTGTTGGAGCTGTCCTACTCTGATCAGGAGTTTAAGTTAGCCTACTAGAGAAGAAATGTACCTGTGTCATCAGCTCAATGATTCGATCCATTCTGCTTACATCTGGGTTGATATCACTAGAGTAGGTTGATGGTGAGAAAATACGCCACATTTTCTCAATCTGGAATTTCCATTGTGGTGTTTGCCTTCGTAAAAAGGCGTGAAATGGAGTGTAGATACCGTAACGTATTTGTTTGCGTGCAAACTACACCAAAAGACTCCTTACCGTCTCGCCGACTTCTTGTATTTCTCTTAGCGCTGATTCCACTTGATCTCCATAGTATCGCTTAACTTCTCCAATGCTCTTGAACTTTCTTGGGTCCTGCCTATGCGCTCGTGGATCTATCAACTGGAAACAACTATACTCCTTCTGGGAAAATGCGTGATGTTGTCTCCCAAGTGCAATAAAAGAATGAATAAATAAATAAATAATAAGGAAAGAAAGAACAAGAAATAATGATTTATTCAACAAGTATCAAACTTACGAAGAAGACTTGATTGGCGCGTTTCTCCTCACTTGGTGGTGGCCGATTGTCCATGATGACAGCGATAGCCTCATGACGGGCACTGAATTACTGTCTGTATACTGTAACCCATTAACTAGTTGATTATCTTTTTCTTTTTGTTTCTTTCACGGTATTGGATCCTATTAGCTTTGTATGATTCCTCTTGTAATTTTTATTAATTTGTAACAATAGCAAATTGAATAAAAAAATAAGAACCCTCTCCATCAACACTAATTACAACTTAAGGGGAATCAGAAAAATACTGAACTCGGAAAAACAGGAATAACGAACCTAAAACTAGCAAAACATGGTGCTTTTTCCGTGAGTCTTTCGTAAACACCGATGAAATCGTGCTCATGCCATCCCCAGTTGTGTTCCGATACACTGAAAACAAACTGCGAACTTGTAGCAGAGTAAGAAAGTGTAGAATGGCACCGCAAAGGTATACTCCTTATCCCTGAGACGGAGTGGGCGTGACACTTGATCATGGCATAGGGTGGGTTACCCGTGGGATATCAATTTGAGACAACTGTAACCTTGTTCTGTGTTGGACAAAGACATGATTACAACAGCCCCAAAGTATAA